AGCACCTCTGAGTGCTGCTGCTGCCTGCTTATTACGCTGATAATAGAAAATTACAGGTTTTCTGTAGGAAATGTCTATTTACATCCTACGTTTCTCAAACTACCTATTAGCATTGCTGTGATGTCACATCCTCCTGCGCGTTTTCGTCAGCACTGGCCCATCTGCCTGTGGGCAGCCTGCTGCTGTGGGGAGGGCTGGTGGCGTGGGCCACACATGGGGATGGGCATCTGCCGCCTGGCACAGCACTGACCCGTGCCCCACATGTGCCGCAAAGCCCTCGGGGCTGCTGCAGCGATGCAGGCAGCGCCTGTGCTCCATGCTCAAGCTGGGTACCTGCACCCACTGCCAGCTGCTTGGGTAGAACCTGCTCAACAGCGCAGGAGAGTAGGTGACAGCGATGGGTGTCACCATGCACACAGATGGTGGTTGGTGGGGCTGAGCAGAGGGACTGTGAGGGCTGTCCAGGTCAGCCCGGTCGGGGAGCTGTGCTTCCCAGCGCAGCCTTTTGCTCACAGCTGATCCAGAGCCGACAGACTCACAGGCGGTTTACTGCCTGAGAAACCTTCTGACATGGCTCTCTGCCAAGCGATGAACGTGGATGCCTGCAGAGAGAATAAGGTGCGGTGCTTCCCCTGGCCTGTTTGCTTGATATTTTTGCCTGTGGGCCAGCAAAGCTTTGGGGACCCTGAGCTGGAGCATGATTTTAAGAAGGCTTTGGCTGTGTTGGTAATTTCGGGGGGAGGGGGTTAATGGGTTGACTGATTTCTGCTGTAGCTGCCTGCCCCGGGCTTGCCCAGGGCTGCATGTGCAGAGCAAGTCCCTGCATGAGGCAGCTGTCTTGTCTGGGTGCCTCATGTATCTCTCAGACAAAGACACCATCCCATCTCAGAGGGGTGCTTTGGGGATGGTCTTTTTTCACCTTGTTTTGTGCATGGACGAAGACAGGAAGGGCTTTGAGAAGGGGCTGCCTGATCATGGAGGAGCCATGCACCAGGTGCACCAGCGCATGGCTCGTGGGAGAAGCGTTGGGTGTGCGAGGCCAGGATGCAGGTGGGATCGGGATGTGTGCTTTTCAGGCAGCTGCATAGTGTGCAGGCCTTTGGCCAAGATTTATAACCACATCTCTTCTCCAGGTTTATAGTTCTGTGTCACTCTATTAACTCAATCGAGAGATGTTTACGTTGCATAAGTAGCTGGAGCAGTGGATAGTAACCTATCAATTTTCATGACTGTTAACCTGGCAGAAGCTCATACACTGTCTTGCAGGACACTAATACCCAAAGCTCCTGAGGCACAAGACACCCAGGGCTTGCTATATTTCAGGAGACTGCAGTTCAACAGCTAATAAAACAGCTAGGTCAAGAACTGCGCAGTCAGGTCTCTGCGGAGTCCTGGCATACGACCAAATTTCTGCTGATGGGTAGCTCCAGAGGAAAAGATGAGCGCGCAGCGAGAGTGGAGGTGAAGGCTCATCTGCAGCAGGCTGACCTAGCGAGGGGCTGTTTTGGCCACAGGTCGTAGGAGGCAGGTCCCACAGGGGACTGGGTTTCAGTGTGGTTTGGCTTGACACTGCTGCTGAGGACACCCACAGAAGCGGCATCTGGCCTGGGGAGAAATGTTAGGGGAGATGCAGATTTTCTGACTGAAACGCACATGTGCTGCAACGCCCCGCCATGCTGGAACCACTCCTGACCCCCTCCTTCTCTTTCTTTCCACAGTCCATTGATCCGGGGCAGCAGTTCACCTGGGAGAACTCCAACCTGGAAGTGAATAAGCCAAAAAACCGCTATGCAAATGTGATCGCCTATGACCACTCACGTGTCATCCTGACCTCCATCGATGGTAAGAGTGACTCGGGAGTGGGCACCCCAGCAAGCAGCTGAACCTGGTTGTAGCAGGGGACCATCTTTTTTCCTGTTCTCAGTTGAGCAGGGGCAAACACAGAGAAACATATCCAGCATCAGCATGAGCAGATGTGTGCTCTGGCTGGCAAGAAGAGAGGAAAAGCTCTGCAAAGCTGCCCTGGCTTTCCCAGTGTCCTCAGAGCAGTGTGCCCCGTGTGGTTGCTTCTTGCTAGTGCTGGTGCCAGCAGAGGTGTCTGTTCCAGCAGCCTCCCTTCTCGCTACTGGCCCCGCTGTGTGACTTCAGCTGCCTTCCTCAGCACATGGTGGGAAAAGGCACTGTTAGCCCTACACCTTCTGCCCCAACACAACCGCAGGGCCGGTATCTTCCTCTGGGACTTGTTGGTTGGTGTTTGCTCCCAAGTGCCAAGAGCTGCACAGGATGAGGGGTGCCCCTTTCCCTGGGACATCAGGCTCCACATGTCCCTGTGCTCTGTAGGAGATGTATCAGGCCCTAGTGTTCATAGCACTGACCCCCGTGGCTCCAAGAACCAGCCCCACATCTGACATCTGGGCTAATATATGCTTTTAGTGCATGCTTTGCAGTCCCCTTGCACACAGAGGAACTGGAGCCCAGGTGCTGAAACCCAGGCTCACCCGTCCCCACTGTTGTATAAATCAGCACCCAGCTCTGCACACCAGAGCTGAGCCCACTTACAGGGGACGAGGAAGAGGCAGCTAATTCAATGCACCTCTGCTTGGGGAAGAGACTGGAGCCTGGCTTTGTGCATAGGTGTCCCTGTAGTCACTAGCTTCCTTTTTCTTGGGATAGAAGAGTCTTTTCTAATGCTAATGCCCCACTCATCCTCTGCGGGAGGAGGGGTGTCCAAACAGTCCCTCACAGCAAGGCCTGTCAAGCAGCAGTAGCTCTGTGAAGGCCTGGTATGCCTGATCATGGGCAAACCCTGTTAGACAGCTGTGGGGTGAGCACAGGGGGGATTCCCTGTTTTCCAGCCTGACTCAGTTGCTGTAAGTAGTGTCTGTGTCTTCCTGGGGACCATTCCCAAAGCGCCCTGCCAGGTCCCTGCCGCCCGTGCCAAGGGAGCCAGGCACTGCACTCCAGCTGCTGCTGCTCCCCCAGAGCCACCAGCACTTTGTTTCTGCTGGGACCTGTAGAAAATTACCCAGGACAAAAGGGTGAGGGGGGGACCCTCAGCTTTATTTTCTTCCCCTAATGAAATGCAGATGCACTTTTCTTGGGAGACAAGGAGACTCCTGCTGCTTTCCCACCCTGCAGCCTGGGCAGCCCATGCTGAGCGGGGTTTGGAAACACAGCCCCAGGCTTCTGCTTTGCCACATTTATTTTAGTAACTGTGTGTTTGCATTTTAAAGGCCTTTACAAGAAAGTTCCTTCCTTAAAGTGGTGGAGCCAGACTGGGAGCTGGAGCAGCCTCCGCCACCAGGCAAGGGTCTCACGCTGAGGAGGGTTTCAGTGGTGGTAGGAGGAAGGTCTCAGGCACCTCCGAGGTACTTGTCCCTGCAGGAGGGATGGGAGGACATCCCCGCCTGACATGACCTGCTAACAGAGACAAGCTAATGCAGCAGCCTCATTTTTAAAAGGTGCTGTAGGAACATAGCAAATAGCTGGTGAATTTAAGACAATTATTTCAATCAGTTGCTTGGGGACAAACAAGCTCCTTGATATTTCTGCCCGTGAATTTCCCTTTGTCTGCGGGTGGCAGCTGTCTCTCTGCTTTGGTGCTGACTGCTTGTTGCATTAACTTGGGGGTTGCAAGGGTTCTTCTTTGTTCAAGCATCATCCCTGTCCTTTGCAGGATCCCTGGGAGAGATTCTGGCATCACCCTGTAAAGGAGACTTGTCGAGAGCCTTGTGAACATGCCTGCAGGACCCAGCAGAGCGATAGGCACAGGGTCACGGGCTGCTGCTGGAGTAACGCTTCGTCCTCTTTCTCCACAGGGGTCCCAGGCAGTGATTACATCAATGCCAATTACATTGATGGGTATCGGAAGCAGAATGCCTACATCGCCACGCAGGGACCTCTGCCAGAAACCCTCAGCGACTTCTGGAGGATGGTGTGGGAACAGAGAACAGCAACTATAGTCATGATGACCAGGCTGGAGGAGAAGTCCAGGGTACAGTGTGTGTTTCTTCTCTGTTCTGGAGCTGGTGGTGGGTGCAGGAGAGAGGGATGGGAACACTTGGCAGCGTAAGTGCATCCAGGGAGAGGCAGGTCTGGTAGTGTGGCTCACTGCTGCAGGCACCCCAGCAACAAGTGCCTTGCAAGCATATCCCTGTGGGGCAAAAGGGTGGCAAAACCTCCTGTCATTGTGCTGCTCATTAACCCCTGTTTTGCCTGCGTGTCTGCGTGCACACCCATCCTTTCCCTGCCCGCATCACTTGCACCAAAGGGAGAAGGGAAAGCTCTGAAATGGGGAGTATCGACAGTCCCTGAAAGCCTGGGGACTGCATCCCAGAAGCTGAGAAGCTGCAATGGGTAGGTGGTATCGGCAGCATCCTGCAGCCTGACCGAGCCCTGGCACCTCTGGCAACGCAGGGGAATGGCTGACGGGGTCTCATTGCAATAACAAGACTAATTTGTGTCTTGTCCAATGACAACATGTATAAACGATTGGCTCATACTGCCAAGATTAGATATTCTGATGTAATAAATGCAAAGCTGCCTGCAAACCGTGGGGAAGGCACAAGGTGGAGAGGAAGGAGCAGGAGCTCTCTCTGCGGATGATGCCTGTGGTGTCTTGTGACGGAGGTTCTTACTCAGCCCCTGAAGCAGGAGTTCGTAAGCTGTGACCGAAGTGCCCATGCCCAGATGCACCCTTTGAGCAAAGCCTGCCTAAGCAGGAGACAGCTTCTGCCTCTCGTGATTCAGTTTGTTCCTAAAAGTAAAATTTTAGCAGTGAGCATTTGTACTTGCAGAATATTTTAGTGTTGCCATGCCAACAGCAGGAGAAGGGGCTGCGCACTCAAGCTGCGAAGCACTGGTTATTTTTAGCCCAATAAGCTCGTTCTTGAGAAGCAGAAACTGTCAGGTTTGGGTTTAGTTAAAACTTTTGCCCGCATGTTCTCCCCTTGTTTCAAAGCTTTAGCACTGAAATGCTCACAGGGGTGTCCTAGCCCACGCTGGCTAGGAGGAAGCAGCTGGAACAACCGATTGCTGTGGCAAAACAGATCTGCTTTTCCTGCATGTACAAAAATAGGTTTTGTTCATGGGCTTCCCCGGCTCTACAAATGCCCTACAGCCTGCAGGGAAAAATAGTGTTCCTCAGGGACCAGCTGCCTCTAGGGTTCCAACCCCAGCTTTGCACTGTGCTTCCCGCTGCGCAGCCCTGCCTGCTCTGTCTGACGGCCGCCATCACCCACCCCAGCCCAAACAGGGAGGTAAATTAACCTGACCCGTCCTGCAGCTCAGGGCTGGGCACATGGGCTGAGCAACATCCGAAGCTGCTGATAACTGCTCTTTGCACCTGGGAACTTTTTTGTGCCTTCACATTTCAGTGACGGAGCATATATTTGAAGTACAAGGAAAAGCCCTTTTAGGTTGCCAAGTAAATCCATGCCCAATGTCCTGACTCACTTAACTTCTGGGCTGCTTAGTTATGGGAAGGCACTCCAAGGTGTGTGTTTCTGAAAGATGAAAGGTTTCCTTTGACCCCACAGGCACTTGTCTTTGCCCAAGATGCCCGTGCTGCTGAGCCATGTGTTATCTCCCCCCAGCACGCTCCCTGTCATGTCATCCTGCAATTACCTCCTGCAGTATTGGTTTCTGTCCCAAACACAGTGCGTGTGGTCGGGCTTCTGGTGACGGCACGGGCACTGTGAATCCCTGTCATGGGGGCAGTGGAGAATCCTGGCCACTCACGAGTCCAACTAGCCCTGCACAGCAAGGGCTTCCCTCGATGTGTTTGCTGGACCGTGTAGGTGCCTCAGGGCACCCACTCATGGGTGGGCCCTGGTGGGGAGCTGGGATGTGGACTTGCAGGATATTATTTTCTCGGGTTTTTTTGCTGGCTTCTCCAGCATTTTCCAAGGCAGGATTGCTTTCAGCCACCTTCCTGCTCTGCTTTTCCTCACGCCCCTTTGGTGATGGCTAGAGTTCACTCAGGAGCCCACCTTTTTGGGACCAAGGAAGATTGCGGTCACTGCCCATTGCTCCCAGCTCTCAGCATGAGTCGCTGTTTTACAGTTCACTCCACTCTAGAGCCTCCAAACCTCATCTGATGCAATCCCTTGGGTCCCTGCAGCATTGCTGCCTGCTTTTGTTCACACTGCTGTGGGACAGCACTGCTCCAGGCAGCCACATGGTGTCACAGCGTTACCCACAGGTGACCTTGCTTGAAAGTCCCCATGCCCAGGGGCTTCAGCACAGGACTGTCTGTCCAGCTCCAGAGCCTGGGATGGGCAGCAAGGCCTCATGGTGAGATGGCTAACACAGAGCAGGCTCTGCCATCTTCCCAAGCAAGCTCCCCACGTCCCCCTCAGCAGTGCTGTGTGTAGATAAGCCGACCGGGACCAGCAGCAGCTTTGCAGCCCTGTAGGTGTGACACTGCTTTAAAGGGTTCCTGAGCTGCAGGGGGAAGAAAATCTTTAAAGAGCATCAGCTTTTATGGTCTGCAATTTCAGCTGGCTTGATGGTCCAAATCATCCTCCCTTTTTCATGTTTTCACAAAGCAAGAGGCACATAAAGGATAGAAATGGCTGGATTGTGCAATTTAGCTGCCTTCAAAGCTTTACAATCAGTTTCAGAATCATTTGGTGGCAGTTCAGAAACACACATTGTAGATTAGCTTTCCCGAAGCTGCGAGCGTGGCGTGTTCCAGCCGGGGTGTGTTGCACGAGAGCGGTATTAAAAGCAGAATTTCTCCTACCCTGGGCTATCCCCAAGAGACCAGCAGAGCAAGGTCTCCCAGAGCAGCGCCGTGGCTTGTTCCCAGCCTGGAGCACCAAGCAGCCATCCCTGGGGTGTGATCTCCCCTGGCACTTTGTGTGCCCAGGCAGGGGTGCAAAGAGGCTGGTGCCTGTGGAAAGGGGAGCCTGGCAGCTGCGTCCCGCTCCAGCACTCCGGCTGGCAGCAATGCCATCTGGAGCTTGCGAGCAGGGCTGGGAGCAGAGCACAGCTCTCGAGCTAAGGAGAGGTATCCGGCTGCTCTTGGGCACAAGGCATCAAAGGGGAGAGACAGGAACCACTCAGCAAAGCTGCAATAAATGGCTGTTCAGGACATTACTGTGCTCCTTAAGTTAATGAGAAGCAAGCACTGCCACAAGAAAACATCTCTTATCTGCTGTAGTGCCACAGTGCGTCGGCTTCAGCATAAAATTTACAGAGCTTGAAAATGGGGCATAAACATTATGGGCAAATTTGGCAGAAAATGTGACTGACTCTTATCTGGTCGTGAATAAATAATTTTCAATTACCAGCCCAGGCGCTGCTATTATCCCACACAGGGAACTCCTCTGAAGTTTGTTTTGCGCTCGAGCACACACAGCCCTGAGCGTGTGGGTGGCAGGAGGGGACCGCTCTCCCCGAGCTCAGGCAGGGGGACATGCTGTGCTGCTCCCTTGCAACGTCCTCTGCAAACCACACCAAGGGACACAGCAAGCAGCTGTTCCCAGCATTTGCAGGATGCCGTTCTGCCCTCCCCTCACCTCCTTTAGAGAGGGGTCACATCATGCCAGAGCCGGGCAAGGCAAACTGAGGTGGCTGGAGATGCAGCTGCCACCCGCTTGTGAGGATAGGATCAGTTTAGCTGTGAAGTAAGGTTTGTGGCCTCAGAGTTTTTCGCTCTGCAGCTAGGCACCATAAAATAACAGGCTGCTCTGTGCTAAGTGAGGAAGAGAAATCTTCTGAGACTCGTGCAGGGCCTGCCATGCTGGGAGCACAGATCCAAGGCAGCACAGCAGCCTGAACGGCAGGAGACCCTGGGCAGGAGGCAGCAGAGCAGCTCTGGGCAGGCAAGTGCTTGCAGTACCCCATGAGGCATCCTTGCCCCAGGCACTTCTGTCTTACTGGGTGCAGACCCCAAAAAAGCAGGGACAGATGCATCCCTCTGACCCCAGGTTGCCGCACTCCAGCAGCCAGAGTGCAGGATGAGGGCTCTTGGCTCTCACAAGCCCTACTCTGCTTTAAGTGCCTTCAATTAAAAGGCAGAACTTCATTGATTTCTAATTAAGCCTGTTGTTTCCCTTCCCACACATTCCCCTGTAAACACACTCGGTTAATAATTAAGTTTACTATTCCTTGACAAGCACAGATGATCTTCCATTCACTCCTCTCTCCTAGGGTGGGAAATCATTTTCAGTGCAGTGCACATGGGTGGGAATTAAGTCTTCCTCCTGTCATCCAAGCACCACAGCTCCATGGGGCAGGGGAGCCACGTGGCAGATGAAATAGGGATGCTCAGGGTGCCAGATTAAATAGGGAGCTTAGCGCTGGAGAGAGCAAAACCAGAGGAGTAGTTTGCAAACACTGGGCTGCGAAGAGGAGGAGGAGAAGGGCATCAGCAGGTGAGCAGGGAGGGATGAACAGGGAGATGAAGGGAGCAGAGGGATGGGGCCCTGGGGGTGTGTTAGGGCTCTCTGCCAAATGGGCTGCAGCAGGAGCCGTGACCAGTAGCTCAGAGTGCTCTGGCTGTGGAGTTGGGAGGGAGGAATAAAGGATGCTGCAGGGCAGGGGCCTTCTAGGGAGCAGCGGCGTTTTCATGATGGGACAGTGCTGCTTGCGGGAGGGGGCTGAAGGGGTGGATTGGCCAGTCTGTGTCTTCTCACAGAGGGAGAACAAGTTGTGTCTGTGTCTGAGCTGGCATCTGTGCCTTGCTGCAGAGCAGTTTTGGAAACAACAGGAAGATGTACATTTCCAGGGCTGCACCACCTGCCAGAAGGACAGGTTGGCATCTCTTGGGGATGCTCAATGCACTTGAACCTACAGCAATGCAGAAAGGGTGGCAGGGTCAGCCCCCTGGACGGGCTGGAGGCCTGGTGTTGGCTGTGTCCCCTCTTTCACCAAGGTGGTTTGCTGCCTTGGGGCCACCCTGGCCCAGGCACCCTGGGGAATATGGATGTTATGGGGAAAGGTAGTGCTTGTTGGTGTATTGTTGTGTACTGTGCTGGACTCAGAGCTGCGTCCTGTCTCAGCTTAGTGCTGTGGGTCGAGGACTTTGGGCCGGGATAGCAGGGAGCTGGTGGGGATACAGGCTGCATCTCCTTCACCTTGGCTGCCCTTCAAGCAGAGCCTTCCCCAGGGAAACCACTGCTTCCCCTGCCCTGCTTCACCAGCTCTCCTCCCACCACCCTGCAGCAGCCAAACTTGTCTCCATCCAGGCAGAGCTCAGGCAGAGGGATGCTGCAAGCACAGCCCCGAAGACCCCCATCTTCCCAAACAGGAGGTACAGAAGAAAAATTACACCAGGCACAAATCACTGCTAGCAATTGCTGCACACTGTCGTCATACCTGGTGCTGCTCTTGCTGCTGTATCTGGTGGCCTGGCCCCCTTTGCCGCTTCACACCAGTGGCTCCAGAAAAAAAAAAAAATCGCTCTTTGAATATGAATCTTGTGGAAAGGAGGCCAGGGTGTGCTGCCTTTCTGCTGGGGACTGGGACACTCTGAGGGAAGGAAATCTGGGTGTTTGGGGGGCCCCTGCACAGTGACTCTTTTCTGTCTTTAGCCTTTAAAGGGCAAAGCCCTGTTCCTCACTCCAAATGCCCCAACCAGCAGCCAAACACTGACCCTTTCTCCTCTACTCTCCACAGGTAAAGTGTGACCAGTACTGGCCGAGCCGGGGTACAGAAACCTATGGGATGATCCAGGTGACCCTGCTGGACACAGTCGAGCTGGCGACGTACACCGTCCGCACCTTTGCACTGTACAAGGTATGGCGCTGGCTGGGCTGTTCCTGCTCCAGGTAACGCCGAGCTGCTCCCCAATGCTGCAGGGTGTTGGGTGGCCCACAGGCAGAGGCCATTGGCTGTGCCTGGCTTGGCCAAGCATGTGGCTAGTGCACACATGGGCCATTTTTCACAGCTGGGCTGCAGTTGGAGTCCAGCTGCAGGTTGTGTATCTGGCTACCACTGGATGTTGGCCAGGACACCTCATGCTCTCCTGTATGATTCAGACCCTGTGATGGGCCCCAGAGCGGGGGCCATGCTTGCCTCTGGCGAGTATACGTGGAACAGCTGTCCTCCCATTAGAGGGACAACATGGGAAGCAGTGAATCTTTAGGACTCCTGTCATTAATAATGCAAATGGAGGGGCCATGCTGACGTGTACGCAAGCCCTTCTCTCCTGCCTGCCGCATACCTCATTAGTGTTTGGAAATCCCTGGGGGCAGTGCTAGCAGCAGTGTGTCACGGCAATGTAAACAGGCTTGCAGCGGGCTGCCTCTGTGTGTGACTGAGCCTGGGCCACACTGGCAGAGAGCACAGCAGTGTGCCACAGGGACGCACTCACGCCCCAGGAAGGCATCTCGCCCCCAGCAGTCACCCAGCCAGTCCTACTGCGTCGCTGCATACATCACTGGGCCAAGTCAAGACAGGAGGAGGGCAGTCTCTGCAGACACAGCTCATCAGCCGTCCCAGAGGGACCCATGATGCAGAGGAGCAGGGAGGGAACTGTCTGCTGTGGCCCTTCCATGCCCGGTGTCTGGTTTTGCCCTGAATATGCAGTGAGGACGCGGGTAGTGACCCCTTGCTGTGCAGGAAGGAGTCTTTCACCTTCCCTTCAATGTGCTCCACTCCTGTGGAACTGCTCTGCTCTCTGTATCGGCTGGCTTTCCGCAGAGCATCTATGTGTACAGAAGCCTTGCAAGCATCCCACATTTTGCCTCCAAATTTTCAGTGGCAAAAGCCCAATACATGCACGATCACACACAGCATTACATGCCAGTTGCCACCCAGCCAGCTGGGTACCATGTTACCCCATCAGTGGGTTCCCATCCTAGGATGGGACTGTTCTCATACCAAAAAACTCCACTTTGTCTTCAACAGAATGGCTCCAGCGAGAAGCGAGAGCTGCGGCAGTTCCAGTTCATGGCGTGGCCCGATCACGGGGTGCCAGAATACCCCACCCCAATCCTAGCTTTCCTGCGGCGGGTCAAGGCCTGTAACCCACCGGATGCTGGGCCCATGGTTGTCCATTGCAGGTAGGACTGTGTGTTTGCGAAGCTGCACCTGAGCGCGTGCCTTCTGGCTGCAGGAGCTTTAACCTGTCCAGCCTCCTGTTCCTGCGGGGAAGGTTTCACGGTAGCGTAACCTGCACTGCATGCGTGGGCTGGGAACAGGACAGCAACCCGCCACTGTAATGCAGTGGTGACATTTGTATTGCTACTGCTCTGCCAGATTAAATGGCACTGCTGTATGGAGAGCCTCAGAAAACACTTTTTCTTGCAAAACTGCAAGTACCATTTAAAAATGAAGTGATATGTGCCCAGCATATATCATGATATCATATATCATCGAAGGTGGTACCTTTCAGAGGCACATCGTTGACAGACACACATGCCGTGACCTCTACAAACATTCATACATAGTATTTACAGTGGAACTCTTCTGCAGGGTAGAAAGGCAGCTCTTTTAGCAAAATATTAGTCTACTAAGGCTCAGCATCTTATCCAGGCAAGATTTATCTATATCGGCCGAGTGGGGGCTATTACTGAACAAACCACTCCATCATTGCTGTTCCAGCATACGCCTTACCAGCAGTGTTTAATGCTCTTCTTTCATGCTCCATCTCAGATGGGAGTGGGGTATAATTAACACACAAACAAGCTGTATTAAAGCCCTGTTAAGGATCTGACTTGTACCATAAATGAGGAAATGTCTAGCTCCCTGTCTCTGCCTGTGTTTACATGTCACGACAGCATGTCTGTTGTTTTCAGGGTGCTCTCAGGGTGAGTAGTTTGGGAATTGCCACTGCCCTTCTAGAAGATGAGGAGAGGCATCCGGTGCTTGAGCCAAGGGCTCAGCATAGACATGTGTGACCTCACCTTTCTGCTTTCCCCTCTCAGGCTGTCTGTCCTCGTTTTATACATTAGGAAACAGTGACCCAGGTTAGGGGACAAGCACGCTTGAAATTACGGGCTTCACCAGTGCCAGCGCCCAGCCTGGACTTCAGGTCTTCTGACTTGATGCACACATACGCTGTCACTCTCCTGCCCGCTAAACACATTTCTCCTTCCCTTGTGGAGGTGCCGCCAGCCACTGCAGGGACCAACAAAGTGACACCGTGTCCTTTCTGCTCCATCAGTGAAAGGTGGACAAGCAGAAGGGCTGAGTAGCCTCCCACATTTTCCAGTGGGTCTCTCCCTCGCTCCTCCTGTCACCTCTTGTTTGGGGCTCAACTCGTTAGCCCTCAGTGTGGGGAGCAGCCTTGACTCCCTTTTGTGCACTCTAGGTCTGGGTGCTCTCTTAAGCAACAGCAGACCTTGCATGGCATCTGTAGGACTCGGTGTCATCTCGGGCCATGTGCTTTGTTCCTACAGTGCCGGCGTGGGCCGAACTGGTTGCTTCATTGTCATTGATGCCATGCTGGAGCGGATGAAGCATGAGAAGACTGTGGACATCTATGGCCACGTGACGTGCATGCGCTCTCAGCGCAACTACATGGTGCAGACAGAGGATCAGTACATCTTCATCCACGAGGCCTTGCTGGAGGCAGCCACGTGTGGCAATACCGAGGTGCCTGCACGCAACCTGTTTGCTCACATCCAGAAGCTGACCCAGGTGCCACCAGGCGAGAGCGTTACTGCAATGGAGCTGGAATTCAAGGTTGGTGGCAGAGCCTCAGCACCCCCCTTCCTCGGCACCCTGTCTCTGCCCACACAGCCCCACCGAGCCACTCGTCAGGGGTTGGGAGAGGAGAGCCATGGATGATTACAGACAATTATTCTTTTGTGTGTTTCTAAACCAGGTAGACAGTGATTTAAAATGCATTTGAATTGTAAAGCTTGTGTCGGCCATGGTCCCCCCTGGATTGGCAGCTTCTGGGGAGGATATAAAAGGCAGATGGATGCGCAGTTCTCAGCAGCACATTCTGCTCTAGGTTCACTGTGCGGCGGGAGCTGCATCTGAAATCAGATGCAGATTGTGTTAGCGATAATTGATGTTACTGTGAACAACTTGTCTGGAAATGGCTCCAATTTAAATATGTGAGATTTTTATAGTCTCGTTTCTTCAATGCTGAGCTCTGTTATCTTTTAACCACCTCGACACCAAGCCTCAGTGCCTAGAATTGGTGAAGGCAGTGTTTTAAGGTACACACTGTTTTTAAGGAGCCAAACCCACATTTTGCTATCTGTATCTGTGAATGACAACCGCAGATATTTATTATAGCCTTGGAGATGGAAGTGAGCTCTGGTAAGCGCCCATATTCTCAGATGAGGTGCATTAGTCCAGTGAACTCATGCAGAGGAATATAGCTCATGCAGGGAGGCAGCAGACCATGCAGGCTGTGAAATAACTGCAGCAACACAGCTTCACCCTGGGGATTCCCTCCAAGTGACAAAGGAGCAGGAGAGGCAAAATATTGACTTACTGCATAAACTGGGAATAGCTGAGTAGCTTGGTCATGTGGTTACCAGAGCTGCTGGAGTCCTGGGCTTGGGACAGTAGAACATACTGCATTAGTATCTCATGGTGACACCTGCCCTGAGAAAACCCTCAAGAGAGCCACACAATTAGGCTCAACTCTAGCAATTCTGTTGTAAGAAAGACAAAACTTTGCTGCTTTTCCAAGGGTCTCTTTAGAACAGTAATAAAACGTGCCCTTCTCTGTGCCCTGGCAGTGTCCACTGCTTGAGAAACCCTGGGGAGCAAGATATGGAAGGTCCTCACATGGCTACATCACTCCCCAGAGAGCATCCCTGTCCTTCTGCAGGGAGCCTCTGCCAAGGACCAGCTGCCACACAGAGAGAGAAGGGTGCCTCTGGAGATGCTGTAGAGAGTCTTTTGGGAAAGGAAAAAAAAAAAAAAAAAGAAAGAAAGAAAAAGGAAAAAAAAAGAAAGAGGGATTTCTGCTTGAATGTGTCTGCCAGCAGATCTAACACATTTGCCATGACTCCAGTTTACAGGGCTCAAAGAGAACCATAAAATGTCTCACAGTAACCCAGTCTTCTTTACCTAAAACTGTCACAATTCTCACATTTTTCTTGGATTCTCCTGGTGTAAGAAGTAAATAACAAGACACTGTAGGAAGATGGAAAGTTCTCCTTCCCTGACACCACCAGGCGTGTGTCCCTGGTTCAGCAAGATACAAAGCTTCATGTCCTGGCCCTTTGTGGGTCAAGGAGCTGCTGTGGTTCTTCACTCCACTATGTGTGGCTTTGGGGCTGTGCCAGCGGGTCAGTGCAGGTGGTTCCCCTGCTGTCACCTACAGCCATGCACCAAAAACCAGCACCGAGACCATGGTGTGCCTCAGTGTGTAATGCCATGGCAGAGGGGCCAACGCGGTACTGAAACCCAGACCGATTACTGTGAAATAGAGCAGCCAGGTGCAGCCTCCTCATAACGCGGTGGCAGAGCCTTTCGTCTGGTCCGGAAAGACCAGGTCCCCAGCGCCTGTCCCTCAGTCAGAGAAGGGAGCGTGGCTGCATGCCTGGAGGGACTCCTGCCTGCCCCACTGCCAGGGTTCTGATTTTGCCCCCCGACTGCTGCATCCCCCGCAGGAATCTGACATGTGTCCTCCTCTTTCAGCTGCTGGCCAACTCTAAAGCACATACCTCACGTTTCATCAGTGCCAACCTCCCATGCAACAAATTCAAGAACCGCCTCGTGAACATCATGCCATACGAGCTGACGAGAGTCTGTCTGCAGCCCATACGGGGTGTCGAGGGCTCCGATTACATCAATGCCAGCTTCATAGATGGGTACAGGTAAGGGCCATCTTAGGTGCCTGGGCCAGCCTCTCCTGCCTGCTTGGGAACCTGGGCAGAGCTGCCTTCGCCTCTTTCCCAAGGACTGGTCCCTGGGTGCCTAGAGGTGGGCTGGGGATCACTTTGTTGCATTTTATCTATTTCCATCTTCTCAGACGCTCCAGTGCGTATCGTTACAGTATGTGAAGACTGCTAGTGAGTGAGCACTGCCAGTCTGGCTTGTGTTGCTGTAGACAGATACCCACATGGCGGGGGTGGGAGTCTCTGCTGGTCCTGTGGAAGCTTTTAGGATCTTGTGGTAGGCATCCCTTGGCATGTGTTTTACATCTGCAGCATCTAATGCAACTGTGCCCCCCCCCACTAGCTGTAGCAACCAGAGGTAGAAGTGTGCTTGCACTGCGTGGTTGATCCAGGAAACAGCGCAAGGCTCTTTGTCCCATGTCTTGATTTTGAGCCTGTGTATCCTCAGGCAGGGCTGGTGCTGGACACTGGGGAGCCCGTCACTGGGTTCTGCTCCTCAGGAAACCTTTTAGAAAGCACAAATTAAGATCTAGTGGGGCAATAATACGTATGGTTTCTGTATCTAACTGCTGGCATAGCATTCTCAGATGCTAAGTGCCAAGAGAGGAGAATGCAGGGAATCGGCCCAGTGGCCACATCTTCCTAGCCAATGCCTGGACAATAATCCAGGCCAAATCCCAGCAATGCATATACAAGGCTCATTCCTGTCAGCTCTCTGTGCACCATCGCAGTAGGGTCACCCAGTGCGGCTGTGGGGGATACAAGAATGGATGTGGCACAGTCCCCCTCCAGCCTGGCTCTGCCCAAACACTTCTTATGGGCTGGTGACCTCCCAGGAGCAACGGGCACTCAGCTGAGCCCAGGAAGAGTTCCCAGGGGGAAGTGCTACATGGAGGCAAGAGTGGGCAGAGAGCAGAAGGGGAGTAACCCTGAGAGCATCCCAACACAGCAAAACCACAGCGAGGAGGCTCCCTCAGGGTGGGACAGAGAAATGGGGAAGGATGAAGGGGCTGGAGAATAGCTGTCACAGAGCAGCCTCCTCTGTGGCTCCGAGCCGTCCAGCACCGCCCGGTTAAGGTGGCTGCCCTCCCTCACGCCC